GACTAAACCTGCAGCAGCAGCTCTCTGACTTCGGGCCTTTTCTCTGCGGATCCTCTGACGGGTCAAAGCAGCAGCGATCCTCCGCCGCTCTCTCTGCTCCTCTCGTCGCTTCGTTTTGCCGCTGACTGAGTGGAAATGTGCAAAGTATTTCCCCCCCTGCGGCACAAGCTGATCAGCCTCTCCTCTCCTCTCCGGCCTGCGCGCCTCCAGGCCTGCGGACGATCACATGCTGCTCAGAGAGAAATCTGCGCGCAGAGCCGCCTTTAGAGCAGAACACAGACCAGGAGCGGTTCTTATTAATTAGCCCACGATTAGAGTCATTATTTAATGATCCATGTTGTAATTTAACTGTAATATTTAGCTGCACAAGTTTCTCATATTTACTGGCGTTGCTTTTATTATTATTATAATTATTTTGCATTTGTGGAAAATTCTGAACTCTTTTAGTTTTTATTCTGTCGACCCGGTTTGTTTTGTGACTTTAATTATCAGTCAGTTAATCGAACCAGTAATTAGGTTTCATCTCATTCGAAGCTCGTTGAGTTTATTTTATTTTTGTCTCGTGTGTGTTTGGATCCTGAACGTGGCAGTAGCTGAGCTCACGGCTCCACTGGTGGCTGAATGAAGGCAGCATGTTGAGAAATGCTGCGTGTTTTAATCAGAAACCTGATTTTCTGCTGAACCACGTTAGAATTTGTTTATTACATTTTATAACTTTATTTTTTTTTCTGTCCCAACCTGCAGATCCTCTGAATCAAACCCTCGGTGAGCCTGAGAGCTTCAGCCCGTAATCTTCTCTCTCCGTTTTTTTTTTTGTTTGTTTGTTTTTTCTGTTCCGTCGCGCGCAGCCCGGAGCTCGGCCCACCTGTCCGGCCTGAGCGGCGGCGCTGCTCGGCCTCCTCAGCTGTCCACCCTGAAGCCGTGAACGTGCCTTTTGCTGCAGTCCCTGGTAATGAAGGAATCAGACGCTCAGGGACAAATGTTGGCCTGACTCAGGGATGGAGGCCTCAGAGGGAACCTGGACCTGGACGGTGAAGCTCAGAGGAGACGTGAAGCTGCAGATCAGAGTGTAAGATGGAAACTGTGGAGCTGCTGAGGTCAGTGAACGCATCACTGGGTCTAAACCGTTTTATTGTTTGTTGCTGTGTTTGCAGTGAAATGCGCCTTTAATCCAGATGTAGGTGCAGCAGCAGGAACACACCGACACATGTTTCCACAGGATTCATTTTGGAGTCGCTGCTCCTCTTCCAGGACGTGCGGCTCCTCCGGCCCTCATTGGACCAAACTCTTCGTCCCGTCGTCGCTCCTCGCCTCTGATTGGACGCCGAAGTTTGACAGCAGCAGCGGCCCCGCCCCTTGTGCGCCCGAAAAAAACTCCTTCCAGAAGTGAGTATCAATCAGAGAGAAGTTCGGGGGACAGAAAGAGAAAAAGAAAGACGCGGAGAGGAAGCGACAGAAAAACTCACTAAATCCTCCGGACTCGGTCGCGCGCTGCCGGGATGGCCCAGTCCGCCTCCGACAGTCTGACGCCGCGTTTCTAGTCACAGTTGGATTACTTTGGACACTTGGTGAGTCTCCGCTGTAAACACTGAGTCGTTTTTTCCCTTTTTTTTCTTCTTCTTTTTTCTGGTTTCGCTGGGCTGCGGTGGACGGACGGAGTGGGTTTTTCGCCGCGTCCCCCCTGCGGGTGGATTCTGAGAGAAATGAGTGAGAGGAGGCGATCTGCCGCAGCTCTGAGCTCGAGAGCCCACGCTTTTTCCGTGGAAGCCCTGATCGGCTCCAACAAGAAGAGGAAGCTGCGGGACTGGGAGGAGAAGGAGCTGGAGTTGTCCATGGAGAGCCTCGCCACGGACGGAGAGGACCCGGCGCACTGTCTGGATATGGACCCGGGTCAGTCTAAGTCCGGATCAATGTCCCGAGTCAAAACACGGCTCCGCGCTCCGTGACCCGGCCCACGGCAGGCTCCGTGTCACCGTGGAGCCTTTTGGTTTCTACGCAGCCTGTGTTGGTGCAGCAGCGGTAGAGTGAGCGGCGCTGAGCAGAACCGAGCTCGGGCCTGCGGAGCCACGCGTTTGGCGCACTGACAGAAATATGGCGCAAAATTCATTTTCCTCAAAAGGAGCCAATTTGCATCAGGAACAGATCAAAGAGAGAAAATCTTAATGAGCCTGTAGAGCCAGGCTGAGTGCTGGCCGTCATGGCGGGCCGCGGGTCGCCTTGTTTTGACTCCGGACTGGATTCAAGGTTCGAAACAACAAAAAGTCAGAACACTGTAAAGCGCAGCGCAGCGCTCTGTTTGTTTTCAGCGTGAATTTGGCTTCAGGCCTCCAGAGACGAAAGAAAGCACTTCATCCACATATGAGGAGGAACTAATGCGCAGAATTTAACACCGAACGCGTTTGTCTCTGGCAGCAGTTTGGCGCTCAGAGAAGCTTTAAACTAAAAAATAAATATTAGATCATTGTTATAAAAGGTGTCAGCAGCTTAAAGATGTAAGAAACCAACAGTTAGAGTAAAAACCTGCGCGTAAAATGTCAAAACCAGCAACACGCCGCTTCAGTGGATGAGCGAGAAAAAAACAATCTGAAAAAAAATATAAAAAACAGAAACAAAAAAACTAAAATGTCATTTTCAGATGAAGTAAAACAAATTATAGAAGTTATAATTTAAAAGGTGATAATAATTAGCTGTTGAGGTTGTTTTTTATTTGTTTTCTTGGTGAGAAATCTGCGATGAGGCGATTTTTGAAAAACATTTTTTTGGAACAACAATTTCTATGTGAGCAGTTAAATCATATTTTATTTATTTATGATTCATTTAAAGCTTATTTTTTTTCATCAGTTTAAGCTTTAATTATTTTTATAGCATACCAGCTCAGCAGTACTGCAGCATTAATATTAGTATGCAGCACATTTACTTCATGACACGAGTGATCAAATATTCTGGCTGCTGCTGGTTTGGATTTAACTTCATCGCTTCAGTGTTTGGACACAGAATTAAACCTGCTGAGGAACAACTTTAGCATCAGATATGAGACTTTAAAGCAACTTTTAAACGTCGCTTTATGTTCTGACATTTTATTTTGCTGGTAAATTCAAGATAATTCAGTCCGAACATTCTAACAAATAATGTTTCTGAAGACTGACGATGAAAAAACGTTCCGCTTAATTTAAAGATGTTTAATTCTAATTAAAATATGTGAATCCAGATGATGCTAAAGGCGCCTTAGATCTTATTTTAAAAGTGTAAAAACAGACAGAAGTGATGTTTCCAGACCTCTCCGTGCTGCTCAGACGCTCCGAGGCCGACGCTGCAGTTTGACCTTTGCGCCTTTACGCACGGCTCCTCTCCACCAGCACCGGGTGTAAAAGGCACAAAAGCGCAAAACTTTCAAAAACAAAAACACGGAGAGAGAAAAAAGATGTGAGCTCCTGGAGGGTCTGAGCAGGGGGGTTTAGTCCCAGCAGCTCTCATGGGAAGCTCGTTGTTAAAGTGCAGGACTGTCTGCGCTGCGGTTAAACGAGGAGCTTAAACCGAACGTTGATTACAAGCAGCCTGTTTGTGCGCTTGTTTTCTTTAAAAAGGGCAAAGATAATCAGCAGAATTAAAGCTTAGACATCATTAGACAAGCCTGCAGACTTTTTTTTTTTAAATCTTGTTTTGGCTCAGTGGGACAGAAAAGTCTTTACGTCCATCCTCTCCTGACTGAATGAGCCGAACAGTTCCCGGTTCCCGTCGCCCCCCTCCGGTCCCGCTCATTAGCAGCCGGGTTCCTGGCAGGTTCAGCGCGTCCTGCTCGGGTCCTAAAGCCTCCGCTGTGGCGCGTTGGACGGCGGTGACCGAGAACAGCGAGTCTCTGTGGTCAGATTATGTGGCTTTTAGAGGAATCCTGAACGGAGCGGTTTTTATTTTTACTCAACTCGAGGCGAAGCTGGAAGCCGGCTGCTCGTATAACACGTTTATTAGCCTCAGAGACAAGGGCAGGACTGAGAAACCGAAGCGGGCCGCATTAACTGGCGGCCTGGAGGAGCTCAGCAGTTCACAAAAGCTGCTGCGGCCTCACACGTTTATCCATCTGGACGGAAAAAAGAAGATTAAACTCGTTTATTCATTTATCGAAGGTCTGGTTTGACTTTTACGCACGATTCTCCCCAAACCTCCCGAACTCGTGTCCGTTAGAATCTGTCCGAACGCTGCTGCTGTGTTTGTCTGAAGAGTTTCTAACAGAGACATGAGCAGGACTGAAGCTTTTACTGCCTGAGTCTCCATCAGCGAGCAAACAGGTGCTGGATGCAGCAGCTCTCTGGTTTCAGAACCCCGCGTTAGAGTCACCTTCAGAACTGCTCATTATCACATGATCTGCTTCGCTGGCTGCTTTAAATGCTGCATATTCTCAGGCTTCTTTCCCAAATGTTCAAATCTGAAACAACAAACAGGAGCTGTGCAGACGCTTCTCAGCAGGTTTCACTGGTTCCAGCTTCATATTCGGTGTTTTTCTCTGAATGTTTTTGGCTTCAAATGTTTGAAAACGTGGAAACTCCGCCACGTCCAGAGTTCTGCTCAGCAAACACACGAAGCATCCACAAGATCTGCTGTTGCTCCTCTAACGGAGGAAACATTTATTTTTACTCTCAAAATCTAAATCTCACACCTGTTAGAACAACACAGTTCGCTCCGCGTGTGTTTAAATGATTAGTTCATGGATTCGGTTTTTCTTTTGCATAAATAACAATTTCACCATAAATTGCTGCAGGAAAAAAAACACAAATCGGTGCCTGGAGATGACACCAGCAGGCAGGAAGTCAAAGTGTTTGATGGTTAAAAATGTTCCTGCTGAACTTCACACTGAAATGAAAGCAGCTACACACAGCTGCGCGTCACACTCACGACAGAAGCGATTCCGCCTAAATGTCCAACAACAAGACGATTCAAACAGAAAATGTGTGTTTGAATCCTCAGCAGCGCGGCTTTAACAGCAGCAGAGCTTCTCAGGAGATGTTTGGTTCACGGCGGCCTGAAGCGACAACATGAGAAACAGCAGCGACTCCATCAGACAGACCAATTAGTGGCCAAAGAGCGACGCTGGTCGCTTTAATGAGGCCTGAGCTGATCAGCAACCGCAAGATCTGTGTGTGTGTGTGTGTGTGTGTGTGTGTGTGTGTGTGTGTGTGTGTGTGTGTGTGTGTGTGTGTGTGTGTGTGTCAGGACGGGGTTCTGCTGGTTTTGCTCATTTCTTGTTGGTTTTTATTTACATTTATTTATTTTGAG